TAAGTTTCTTTGAAATTATTTTTATTTTGTATTCTACCAGATCTGTTGTTGAACTTATTGATTTTGGCATGTATATTGCTTAACAAAATAAGACAATTATAAGCTTGTAGCATATTCTACTTACATTACCATTCATATAAAGTTTATAATGTTTTTTACCATACTAATATTGGGATCCCTGGGTATAGCAGGGCTAATAAATTAGTCAAGGAATCTCTCTCAATGAACATATCAAATTCAAAAATCCCCTTGACAGACTTAAAAGCCACAATTAATTCTTACATTCTTAACGAATGGTAAAAATCATGGAATCACAAAGGACAAACTATAAAAAATAAAACCTATTTTAACTGTACAACATCACAGCACCACACTCAAGAAAAGATGATGTCACATTTACAAGACTCAAAATCGGATATACCCACATAACCACTCTTTCTTCCTTAAAAAAAAAAAAAAATTGAAGACCCTCCAAAATGCCCAAACTGCCAAGAAGTATGCACTGTCAAATCATTATTTTTTAATTAACTGCTAAAATCTGGCACCTGTACAAGAATATGTCTACAATGTACCCAACCTTAAGGCCCTCTTTGATTAGTGTCAAATCCAAAGCCATTCTAGAATTCTTAAAAGTAACAAAACTCTACCCCCAAAATATAAAAAGGAAACTGAATAAACATTCGGCTACAAAATGCAACTAAAACTGAATTACATCCCCACTCTTATATAATGAAGACTTATAAAAGATTTTTCTGCAAAATAGACACAAAATAAAAAGTCCAAAAACTACCAGATTTGGTGTGAAATGACCTGTGGGATTAGTTATCTGGTAAAATAGCCCATCTAAATCTATACCATGTTAGTATAATATTTAAGTTTTCGGTAATTCTTTTTAAACTAAAGTAAGTTATTTTTTAAACCACATAACTAGATTCTTTAAAGAAAATATTTATTCATTTAATAGATAAAATGAGAAACTTTTTTTTTTTTTTTTTTATAGCAACGATTATGATATTGATGTGCAAGCTTCACGGGATGAAGAAGAGGATGTTATGGAAGCACCGTCTTACACTCGCTTGTTGGTAAACCGCACGCATAATGGTTAGTAATTTGTCTACCTTTTAAGATGTACTTCTATTAATTTATATTACCCATTTACAGTATAAAATGATATCAAAATGTAATGAAACCTATTTTTATTTGCAGAAGGTAAACTGCCATTCCCTGGAATTCCTGAGCTGAACACCAGATTTAGACGAATGATTACTGGTTACCAAAGGCACCACTGTAAGAATCAGCAAATTCTTGCACAGAGGGCCAAGGTGTGCTATGTACTTTTCTTGTATTCCATTGTATCCACCATCCAAATATAAACATTTTGAATTGTTATTGGTTTTTAATTTATATTGACACAATGTAGGTGATATAACCTACTTATTACCTAAATTTCATTTGTGAGGGTAGCTTTTAGTCTGATGTGGATGTGCTCTGCTGTGCTATCTTGCCATAGACACACCACTGCAGCTATGGCTGCAGTACATGTTGTGCCTGCTATGAGTCTAATGGATTATGAGACTTGTGATGTGACTGTCTTTTGAGTAAATTTATTAATTATATTCTTTCACATTTACTGAAGAGTCAAAAACAAGTGTTAGTTTTTCTAACATTGGTTCCCATCCAATCATCGAAGTTAAGCAATGTTGAGCCTGGTCAGTACCTAGAAGAGTGACCGCTTGAGAATACCAGGTGTTGTAAGCTTGAATGTGCATTTGATATAATGGATAACAGCTTGGAATGAGAAATCAGAGAAAACTAGGTTTTTGCTACATTCACTCATGTACAAATACCTTTTGAGAAACGTATGAATCCACATCTTCTAAGTTAAATAGTAAAACTTGTATCAGAAAAACATTATCTATAAATATTAATACAATATTCACTTGAAAAAAAAAATTCTTACAATCTAAAAATGTTTTGGCTTTAAATAAACCTACAAATGTTGATAAACCATAAAAAAAACAATCGATTATCCTTTCCCATTCCAGAAACTTGAGCGGCTAAACAGAGCTGAAGCTGCTAATAAAGAAAGAGCTATTAAGAAAAGAGAATCCCAACAAAGGTAACATTTTAACTTTTTTTTTTTTTTTTTTTTCTTTTCTTTTGGGAAAACTTTTGAATTTTCCATTTATATTATCAAATAAGTTTATTTGAATTATTTTTTTAAAGACAACTATTCAACTTAAATCATAAAGTGAAATGTTGAATGACTTAAATTCTTTTTATTCGATATTCAGTCAACGTTGGTTTTATAGTCTGTTTTAGAATGAAAAAAATATTAAAATAAGTACATATCACTTTGACTGTTTATTCGCCATCATTTACTGATTTCAATTGAGAAATATTTTACTTGACAATTCTAATAGTCATTTAATGACATAAAACTCTGATGCAGATAAATCTATACAATTTAGGTGACAGCTATTACTGGCAATAACTCTTAGAACAAGTGAAATTTGTAATATAACTTACTCTTAAGGACTTGTTCAACTCGCACAATGCTGCTTTCACATGAATTAATAATATATATATATATATTTTTTTTTTTTTTTTTTTTTTTTTTTTTTAAGGTGGTCAAGGCGAGAGAGTGCAGATTTCTACAAGACTATTGCATCTTATGGTGTTGAAATTGACACTCGAACTAAAATGTACAAGTGGGATCACTTCCGTATTCTGGCAAGACTAGATAAAAAATACGATGATACACTAACAGAATATTATGAAGCTTTTTATGATATGTGTCAACGAGCTTGTAAAAAAGAGGAAGAAAGTAAGCAGAATGTGTTTCCTTTTAGTTAATGATACAAATCTGAGTTTTCTATTTTTGTATTTTTTATTGTTTCAGTAAATTTTACATGTAATTTGTAATATTCTTTAAAATGGTTATCATTTGTTATTGTTTAATTTTGCAATTTTATATTGTATTTGTAGTTATTTGGTTATCACCTCAACCCAATAGCCTGTTTGTTGAACCTATTACTAGTGAAAGAGCATGTCGATGTTTAGCAAGGATCAGTCTCCTCAGACGGCTTAGAGAGAACATTATTCCACATCCACAATTTGAAGAACGGATCAAATTATGTCAAATAACCTATGACATGCCTTCTTGGTGGGTTGCTGGAAAACATGATAAGGAACTAGTATTGGGTGCTGCAAAGTAAGGGTTTTTTTTTTTTTTTTTTTGTTGATTGTTGATATTCATAAATCAAAATATTTTCTGTATTCTATTTTTTTTTTTTTTTTTTTTTAAAAATTGTTGAGGGATAATTCTGTATACTACCTTGTTTTAGCAATTAAGGTTATTAATGCATAAAAGGCCATTCCTAACAAAAAAAAAGGAGGGGTAACAAATATATTATGGTAATACTGAAATATTAAAATATTAAAAAAGATGCAAGGACAAAAATGTGCAGTGACCAAAAAATTTTGTTGGGTACTGTATGCATTTTTCTCTTTGGTCTTTGTTCTCCTGAGAGGGAACCAATAAACTGAATTACCTATCTCTTTTTAATTGTTATATGTCTTTGTTACTCTTTTATTTATTTATTTTGTAATATGCCCATTTTTATCTTGGTAATAAAATTTTGTACCCTTGCAACAAAAATGTGGCAATTGTTTTCTGAAAGCATGAATTTTTTTTTTTTTTTTTTTTTTTTTCCTTGCCTTATTCCGCTTACTCATGCAATTAGCTAGTGTTACTCAGCTCAACCTTTTTGCACCGTTATGCTATTATTTGACTTCATAGTTCCATAATTTTTTTTTTTATTTTTTTTTTTAGGCATGGTATTTCCCGTACGGATTTAAACATTTGTCCTGATCGAGCATATAGCTTCCATTTGCATTTTAAGGGGAAGTTGAACCAGTCATCTCTAGAGTCATCAATATTTAAGCCATTAAGATGTAAGTGCATTTGCAGTAGCAAGTAATTATTTTTCTAAATAACTGAATAATTAACATATTTCTTTCCATTTTGAGAATTGTGAATTTCACTATTTATTAAATTGTGCTCAATATTGTTCTGATGAATTAGGATTAATTTTGTTCTAAATTAAAGATATATATCTGATAAATAATGTTTAAACACAGCTTTAGTTTGGAAATAACTGTCACAAATTTTATTTTGCTTCAGGTGAGTCAACAAGCCTGAAAGGTGATGATTCAGATTCAAAAGACAGTACCACCCTTGGCAAAGCAGGGGGGACATCTGAATCGGATAGCGAGTTTAAATTCAGCAAAGTTGCAATGAAACACATTGGCTCAGATAGTTGTGATGAAAAATTAGATGATGCTGATGACACATTGTCATTGGGTATGAGAATTAAATCTGTTAAAAGCAAAGAGAAGAGTAATTATCTTTCTGACACAGAAGATGATGTTACAAAGTCAGAAATGGATGATAAAGATAAAATATCTGATGCGGATATAAAGATGGAGGATGAGGAAGATTTTGACTCCAAACTTGGAATGGACAGTATTGATAGGGATTTATACATGAAAAATGCAAATATGAAATTGTCAGCCAAAGATGAAGATGCTGATGATGAGGAAGATGATGATAGTAAAAGCATCACAAACATGGATGTTCGAGAGAGAGAAACTGTGAATGTTTTCAAAATAAATCCTGATACAATCTTACAGGTATTGCCTTTTTGGAACTTTTTTTTTTTTTAATGTCATTTAATTTTACTAAAAATTATGAAATGGTAACTTTATATGCAATATTGTTATTTTTATATTTAAGTTTCGAATCCTTTCTCTCAATATTTGAAAATGTACAGGAGATTTCTGAAATGAAAGATTTTTGGCAAAGTTCAGCATGCCCCCCCCCCACTCCAATGTCAAAAAGAAATTGTTTCTTTGACACTATTATTTATGGATATGTGTTATGGTGTAATGGATGTCAGCACGGAATGAGAAATCAGAGAACTTAGTTTGAATTGCAGTCAGGTTCATCACATTCACTTAGGTGCAAAATACCCTTTTGGGAAAGGTATGAATTCCAGCTCTTCCTCCCCCCACACAGCAATGGGTTGAATAGTAGGACAGATGGGGTCCTATAGCTTTGGTTGGCAACAAGTCTACCGCAGAGAGAAACAATTTACTACTGCAGGGAAAATCTTCAGCCACGTCGGTCATGAATCAAGAGAGACCTTATCGCCTAAACATGTATCACTTAACTGACTGATTACTGTAGCAAATTTTGTTTTAAAAAACTTTTTATAGAATTTTAATAAAAAGCTAAACAGATGAAACTTGACAACAAAAGAATTAAATGCTATTTTATTACATTATTTACAAGAATAATTTTATATTTACGAGTTTATAAAAATGTGAACCAACTACAATGTGATCTTTATTATTTTACCCTTTTATAAAGAAATAACCATGAAAAATAATTGTTTTATTCATAAATTTAAAAAATGAACAAGAAAATTTAAACATAATGAATAACTATAACTTATAGTTTTCAATCTGTATTTATATTTTTTTTTTTTTTTTTTATAGAATTAACAAAAATGTTAAACACTTTATTTAAACTGTTTCATTTCAAAATTAGTGTTTAATGCTTTTCTCAATTCTCAAAAAAAATTTGTATGTTTGAATTTTATTAAAGTTCTAAGAATAGCTTTTTAAAACAAAAATTGCCATGGAAGGTATACAGTAATAGTGGTCTCAGGAGAGGGTGGGGGTACAAATTTTAAACTTTGCCAAAAATTTTCTATACTGTACCCACTTAATATTTGGTAGTAGGAAATACTGCTGTGTAAAAAAAAAAAACAAAAAAAAAAACACTTCTGATAATTCCTACATTTTGTTTTTCCACAGAATTCTGTCCCGGCTTCTGATGATATAGACATGGATGGAGACTATCAAATGCATGTAAATGATGTATACTGGCCCAAGGTAAATTACAATCTTGTGACATATTTCCATATTTAACATACTGTAATATACTCACCAGTGTATCAGAAATTCATAGTGGTTGCATGAAAAAGTGTACATAAAACTAGCATACAATGACAGCTCAAGCCATGATGTTAAATTAGGACTGTCCCAGGTAACGCTAAAAAAGTGGTATACCCTGGAGAAAAAGGTTGCCAAATTGATAAAAAAAAAAATTTAACGTGTAAATGTTTATGTTAAAATTAAACAGGGAAGACCAAAGTATTTTTTGAATATTTTTTCAGATTTTTTAGTGCTTCCTATAAATTTTAAAAATTTTATTTAAAAATCTCGTTTTTCTTGAATAAAAAAAAAAAAACTAGTAAATTCGATTTATCGGCCATTTTTGGCCAAATTTGTAAACAAAAAATCAAAATTAGTTCAAAAATCAATTAAAATTCAATTACACCTTTTTTTTTTTTTTTGTTATCTTAGGAAATTTAGAATGATTAAAGTATACTTAATGTAATTTGAAAGAAACATTACTTACTTTTTTAGCAGAAAATTTTTTAATAGAGATATTTCCAACCGTGGTACTTTCAGCATGAAAAGGCGTGATTGAAGGGTGTTAATTGATGGGTGTCAATATATTGACAACTTACGTCAAGGGAATTTATCGTGCGGTAGCGCAGAAGTGATGTAATTCGTTCTAATTTTAAGTGAACCTGGTTAGTAAATTTTAAAAAAAAAAATAACTTTCAATTTTTTTTTTTTTTTAACCTACGTTTGAAGAAAAATTTCTGCACTGAAAATAACATTTAAATTGTGAAAAAAATCAAATTTTACAAGTAAAATGAAACAGTAACAACATTTTTTAAATCGAAAAATACATATTTTATTTATTAACAAAATTAATATTGAAATGCTATGCAATCGATTTCAAATTTTGCTTTGTTGTTAACTGAATGAATGCAAAGTAATTTCTGAAGTAAAAAAAAAAAAACTTGCTTCTATCTAGGGAAACAACTCTACCTCACGTGACGTTATTTCAAAGTTGTGCATCCATACTTTCATTGGAGACGATTTTAAATACAATTTTGGAATATTAAAAAATTATTTTAAAAATATTCACGGTTGTCAGATTTTAATAAGCTTTCAAATTTATGATCTATAAGAAGTAGAGAACATAATATGTAATTTCCATAAGGCTTTATAAAGAAACTTAATTTTAAAATATATAACATTTTGTCATTTTGTGTATTTAAAATAGAAAAAAAAGAAAAAATTATTGTAAAAATTCATTTTTCATCAAAATTTTTTTTTTTTTTCAGATAATTACCTTAGTATATGTTATTCAAAAAAGCCATAAAAAGTTTTTTAAATTAAATATTGTCTCAGTTTTATTGGGTTTTGTATTTCTACAATTGAGGTAAAAGTTTGGACAATTTTGCCCATTTTTTTTACCAAAAAATCGATGATTTAGAATCTTCAGAGTCTTGTGCATTTAAGTGAAAAAAAAAAATTCAGGCTTTGAAAATAAATTTTTGAATTTTTCATAAAATTAAGTTCGAGGGTGTAACAGATATAAAAACAATATATTTATACCATGACTTTCAAAAAGACAAACATTTCTAAAATAATTTCATTCATTTGTGAATAAGTTCTGAAAGTTTCATTAAAATCCAACAAGTACTTGATTTTTACAAGATTTTCTAAATCAATGTGTTTTTTTTTTTTCAACTGAAAACAGGGAAAAACAAGTAATGTTAATATTACCTAATTTTTGACCTGAAAAAAAATTTTTTAAAAATAATTAAAAAATACCTTGGTCTTCCCTCTTTAATTTTAACATTTACATTTACACGTTAAATTTTTTTTTATCAATTTGAGGACCCTTTTTTCTCCAGGGTATACCACTTTTTTAGCATTACCTGGGACAGTCCTATGTTAAATATATTCTCATGTTGCAAAAACCTTAATTTTTGCAGCATATAAAAACTAAACCAAAAAAAAGTGTCTTGAATTCTATATAATTTTATCAGTTATTTCTTTATTTACAGGACAAAATTTTGTTCCAACGTCTTGAACATATTTGTTATACTATCGAGACCGGTGAATGGCCACAAATTAAAAAATTGTTCTTAGCCCAGGCATCTGATTCCTGCAGTACAACTCCTTTGGATAGATCCACTCCCAAGCCTGAAATGAGTGATATGGAGTCAGGAGAAAGTAATTTTATGGAAGCTTCCAAAAAGACAAAACCTGTTGCAGAATACACTTCTGAGGTCAGTATTACTTCCAAATTTTTTCTTGGTTTTGTTTCTTTTTTGATAACTAAATGTGTGTTTGCTACATAATGTTTTTTGTATTTGTAACTTCAGGTTCACAAAATCTTTTTATGAACTGATTAATGCAAAATATTTGTACAAAGTTTCCTATTCAAAATATGAACATTTTAGAAGCAAAATGATTTTTAACTGTTTAAATATGGGTTACTGGATTACTGATTCTTACTAGCTTGGTACTGAGGTTAGAAAATGACAAGAGAAAAGCATGAGATGAAATATGGAAATACTTGTGTTACAGGCATTGCTGTGTGTGGGTTAGTCTGATCAGTATACAGGGTGCGATGGATAAATTGTCGTCTAAATTACACAAAAATGAAAATAATACTGACATCTCATTTTAACAGATATATTTACCAAAATTACACAAAAATATCTTTAAATAATAAAGAGTAAATTTATTCAATAAAATCGTCATTGGCTTGAACCACAGTCCCCAGATGATTTTGGAATATCCTGCATCTCTTCTGGATGGTCTCCTTGTTGAAGTTGGTGAATGCTGCCATAATTCTTGCCTTCAATTCTTCTTTGGTGTTATAAGGAATTTTGTTGGTCTCTTGTTCAACTGTATCCCCACACATAATAATCAAGGGGGGGGGGTTGCAGTCTGGGGAGTTAGGTGGCCAGATGTAAAGGCTGATGTGGTTGCAAAAATTGTCTTACAGCCATCACTGGGTTCTCTTGCTTATGTGGCATGGTGCAGTCCTGTTGTCAGACACAGGATTTCCCAGCAGCCACTCCCTTGACCCAGGGCAGCACTACCTCCTCAAGGCACTTGATGTAGGCCTCTGTATTGAGTCATATGTCCTCACCAACAAATTTGGGAGTTATTTTCTTATCAGAGTGAGTTTTCTGAGCTGCCATGCCTTCATAATCACCATTAGACTCATCCAACTCTTTCTGAATCCTCTACACTATCCTCAGATTTGACATTCAAACACTCTGAAATGTTTGTATTGGAGCTTCTGGCATGAATGCCAACTAATACAGCCTGCAGTTTCCACATTTCTGGTAGTGTGAATTCTGTCATGGTGCTCTTTTTACCACAGTGCTAACTGACCCTACTATTCTGTGCATTCAATAAAACGAACAATGTGCATGCACAAAATTATGACGACAATTTACCCATCACACCCTGTATATGCCACCTGTTGTGAATGTAAGATTGTTTGAATTTCACTTCAATTTTCTACATTTTTTTTCCCTGTTCATGCCAGGCAAGACAATAAAACCACTAAGACACAGGTTACTGAGTGAAATAAAAAAACAAAAAACCCCAAAAAACATTAATGAACAAGAACAATAAAAGAGGCATCAAAAAGGCAGTAGATAATGATTGATATTGCATTTAAATTTTCAAAGTTGGCTGAAAAGCAAGAAGCCAAGAGTTTCACAGGTGAGAAGTGCAAAAAAAAAGAAACTGTTAGCAAAGAATTTATGGTTACATTTAGCTAATTCAACTGTAAAATGATGAGACCTTGTTGCCAATCTACTACTGCACTTAAATTCAGAAAGTCTAGGTACCATAGAGCAGTGTCCATCAGAACAATTACCATGAAAGTATTTATAGAAAAGGCACAGGGAAGCAGTGAAGAAAATGGCTGAAGCCAGTATGCAAAGTCAGGACCAATAACATTGCAAATTCTTTTTGGGATTTTATCAAGAATCTCTAAATATATAGCAGGAACAGACCATTGTATAGTAGTAAGCAGGTGTCTGTTATACAACAAACTGTTTTGTGTGTGTGCGCATTTTAACTTTTTTCTTGTGGGTGACGATGTGGCAAAATAATATAGATTAAAGAATGAAGGAAACATAATCTAATTTTCCAATTATAACCAGGTAATGAGGTTTTAACTGGTATTCATGCACATAATCTATATATAATCACCTATTTCTGTAGGTGAAAAGCTACTTAAGTATTTTTCTTATATAATCCCTTATTTTCCAACCAAACTATTGTAAAAATAACCATCTTTGCAAATGTTTCTGTTTTAACAGATTCGTTTTCTTGTCCCTTTTTCATTAGGCACAATACAGATGATAATAAACCTTGAATTTGGTTATCTTTATTGATTTAAGACAAGTGAAGATTAGTTTCTTCATGCTGGCCATTATCTGTGGTTGCTCATAAACATTCATTGCATGTCTTTCTAATCAAATAAATCATGGGAGTTGAGTTTTTATGAGAAGTTAAAATATGTTGGACCACAATATAGCTATTACTTCAGTGATAAAACATTGTAACAATATTACCTTTTGTATATAATGTGACACCTATTCTAATTTTGGATTTGTATATAAAATTTCTTGCATTATGTATGAATACCTACAGTGTTTGTGGTCCTTATTCAAATCTCACCCTCTGCTAAAATTAATTTATATCCATAATTCACTGACACGTAAATATGCTGAATTTTAGAAAGTTACACAGAGCATGTTTCAAACTTTTAATACTGTTAAAATTGGAATATTGAATGAGACAATAAAAAGAAAATGAGATTTCATTCAATGGAACTATTCCTGGTTAGAGCAAGACTTGAAATAGAAATTAAATTTCAGTGGTGGTGGTAGGGGAGATTTATGTAAAAATAAACTTGTAAAATCTAGTTACAGATTCAAATTATTAATATTTCTCATAAAATAATTTGTCAAATTTATAACTATTTCCAAATGACAATAGATTTATTGATAGTCATCTAATGTCAGTGTGTCACATTTTGTCCGCTTTATTCAGAGAGGCTGTAGCCCAACATATACCATTTTGGAATCTGGCCGACTCTGCGAGCAAATTAAAAACATTCCGGGCTGGATCCAGACTTGCAATCCTGAAATTTTGGATTCTCAAGTTTTCATTACTGCGATTGTTTTTTTTTTTTGTATGAGAAAAATTTTTATAACTTGTTGTGACGTTGTCCCCTGGTCGCAGCGTCGACTCTGTCGTTCGATCCTGGTCGCGGCGCCAATTGTGACGTCACGTGCTCCCCAGGCTCTGATATCCTGGTCACGGACAGCACCAACTGTGACGTCTTTGCCGCGGCGTCAGCTGTTCGCTCCTCGCTGCTCCAAACGTGACGTTCTGACCCTTTGGTTAGATTGATACCAGCCTTGCCGTTCCCAACCCGCTTCCAACGCCTGGTTACCAGGGTAACTGCACTGATCCCCAGTCTGCCTACCCATGTTGTGAATTGATCTTAGACAGACGAGATCAAACAGGGGTTGGGGTCGTAATGCAAGTTGAGTCTAATGGGGGTGATAACACACAATTATGTATAAAAGAAAATAAAATAAAAACTCACAAGGTCCAACGTATCAAAGAAAAAGGTAACAAACTTTTTATGTCTAATTGCTCGGTACATAGGACTATGTCTACTTCCCGACCCGTTCTGTGGATTGTGGCATGACGCTTTTACTAGGCAACTTTAAGGCTTCCAGTTGTCTGCTCTCTAAGAAATTTGTGTTTCGGCGTGTCTTTGGACGAAAGTCGAAAAAAAACTTATTTCTGTGGTCTGATTCTTAGTCACTCTTCAAACTACTTGTTCTTGGTTGAAGAAGAGTCCAGAAAGTATCGTGAATCTTGGTCAGCTATCTTGACGCGGTTTCAACACTGGGCGCTCATCTCTGCTTGTCGTCAAGGTTCAAAACTTTTCTCCGAAATTACTGCCAGGGTCCGACTGCTCAATCTGACTTCTGTCGGTTGGGGTTTCACTTTTATTGAACTTCTTCACGCAGTCAAAACTGGGGTGGGTCTGTCAAAAATAAGGGGTTTCTTCGATAATTGTAAATCATTATCCACCCTTCTTATTTCTGGTTAGGGATTTTCCATTTTCGGTAACTCACTCTCAAAAACCACTTCCTTACTGTGCCTCTGAGGGCGTGTGCTCCTTCTCCCCTCCTTTCTTCGTATCGGCTCCTTACACTTACACTTCTGACAGGGGCATCGACCAATTCTCCTCGTGCGTCACGTGACCGCTCTCAGCCAATGAGGTCCTGGTCGGGTATCTTTCCTCCTCCTTCGTGTGTCATGTGATCTTATTTAGCCAATGACATCTTTAGTCGGGCGTGGACAATCTGTGGCTTTGTTTTGGGAAAAAACACCTTGCTTAAAAAACAAAAATATTAATTTAAATCGCCCTTATCATGAGCGACTGAGATGACACCTTCGCTTTTTAACACGTGGTATTTGTCAAGCAGTTTATCGCTAATTGGATATGATCTAAGAAAGGGATTTCTCAGACCCGTTGGCGTTTTTGAACGAAATAAAAATATTTCATTTTCCTCTGCCCAAAGGTCCGATAATAAAAATCTTTATTATCTCAAAAAAAAATTTTTCAGCAACATCATCTTGTGTGGCTTTTTCCAATTCTGGAGACTGTGTTTTCGTATTAATGGTTTGCCTTCATATCCTTAGATACACTTCCCCACCCACTTAGACCTTTTACTATCATTCCAATGACACACTTTCCACTTGTTACTTATCAATATTTTCATTGTCCCTAAACTTCGTTTCTTCTTTTCTTTCTTTTCCTTGGATGACAACCAAGTGATAACAACTTCCATTTTCCCGGATCTCGGTCAGATGCTTGACCTGAATATTTTTTTCGACACCTGTTATCTGTCAGCCGTGCAGTGTGTGCTCGCCTATGACCTGTTTTCGTATTTTTTTTCTTTCTTTCTTCTTCGTTTTCTCTTTCCTTTTTCCAGATCGCTTGAATGTAAAGGAAGAATTATTCTTAAAACCCAAAATATTTTTCGGCCCTAAATAATTATTAAATGGTTGATAAACTGTAAAAAACAAATCATATATCTATGAATATTTCTTTTCAGCTCGTCAGGTATGCATGGTGCCACATTGTAAATTAATTGCAAAATCCAGCAAAAGTCACCCATGAAAAAAAAATGTTTGTATTGGAAGTTAGGACCTACATACATCAAATTGTCTTTGATATAAGTGGTGGCAGAAGAATTATCATTGAACTTTTAAAAGTTATTGATGCAATATTTAAAATGCACTGATCAATTTTGAGTTCTGTAGTTTATTGTTGCCTATTGCATCTACCCTGCCTACTGTGTTGAAGGCCTAATCAAGAGCCCTTGGCAGGAGCTAGCATAAATGCCACTTGATAAGGCGACAGTTTGCAATAAATAGGATAAACCTTTATATTAATAATTAATACTGTTTCATTGAACATCAAAATTAAAATTTAATATTTTAAAAGTAGATTAAAATTTTAAAGTTACTATGCTATTGAATTTGTATTTGCATTACTCTTACTTTTAGGTGGAAGGTATGAAAGTGAAGATTTCAAAAAATAAATTATGCCTGCCAAAGAAAGAAGAAGGTTCAGCAAATAAAGGTAAAGTTATTCTATGAAAACATTTGAAAGTGGAATTTGTTTTATTTTTCTTCAGTCATTTTACTTATTCTGTAAATTCTTAATATTTTTTTCTTCAGCATTGTCATTTCCCCAGTTCAACCACAGTGCCTTTTCAAGTGACAATGAAAGTGTTACTGAAGCTATGAATTTGTCTACATCCATGGTAAGAAATTTATTATTCTGTACTTTAGTGTACTGATTTGACAATCTGTTAAATAATTGGTAAATATGTTGCATGATTTGAGCTGTAAGGGAGGTGCTTCTAGTTAAGTGTGGGCTTCTCTGTCACGCAGAGTTATCCATCAAATTCATGTGAATGGCCTTTTCAAACTCTTTTTGACTTTGCTTTCTATAATCCTTCAGCAAATCCAGCAGTGATTGTCCCTTAAGCAACTGGGGCAGGCTTGGTTCACTGGAGGCCCTTAGTCCATGCCCACATGTTGGCAGCAGGTTTGTGATGGTTGTATTGGTGTCCCACACTCTTTTGTGACTCCTGCTCATGACTCTTCAGGAGTAGGCTAGACCTTCACAACCATCTCTCATCGCCATCAAAAGGGAGAAAGAATAAGGAAAGAGCATGCTGGTCCTGATGCAAGAGGGTGCTGTGACTGTTGCCGACTATGTTGTATGAACAGGAGAATGAAAGTGGAAGTAGGAGCATTATATATATATATATATAAATAATCTTTAATAAACGTTTTTTTAGTAGATACCCATATTTGAGTAAATGCTCAGTTTATTTATTAAACGATATGTTTATTTTTGAGAAATTTTATTAAAGAAAAATATGCTCTCTGGCAGGATAAGAACCTGCATCCTCCAAGAGAAAGCATCATTAGATCCGACATGTTCGTACTGTCTCGGCCATGGAGTGTGTCACATTAAGCAAAGTTGAATAGTGTCTTATTGTTGTGGAGTATTTTCACAGTGGAGGCTTGTATTTCTAATAAGTCGTACAAAACGTTAGGAACTTGGGAAATAATAGTCAATGACGCAGCAAATCTAGTTGTGATGGTTGGTACTTCAAATGTCCGAATCTCGACTGACGTTCTCAACACCGTTCTGCCAGACTTGCCACTGCTACTTATCTATGGGAGAGTTCATTAACAAAGAGTAGGTACTATGGCACAACACCCCCCCCTAAAACTTTACTCCGCAGGAGTAAAAAGTTATTATTTATTTTTCAAATTTTTACAGAAAAAAATTTTTTTTTTTTTTTAACAACATCGTAGCGTATTTCCTACGTTTTTTGATCCACTTTTAAATGATCAGTTGCCCTTTTTTTTTTTTTCTTCTGGATCGGCGTACCTTAGGTAAAATTATTTGCAGGGGTTTGTTAGATCAAACTTATTGAAAATCACCTCCATCGGTGTTTTTTTAATTTTTTTTTGCGGGACCGCTGTCAACCACGTCTGAAAAAACGTCGTCTGATCTGTTTACTGCACGTGAGTTTTACCCCTTTCACCAAGTACGTCATGTAGCCAATCCGCTTTATTATTATTATTATTATTATTATTATTTTTTTTTTTTTTTTTTTATATATATCTCCAAAGCGTTACCAGAAACAACCTTCTGCTTCCAACTTCTTAAAGTTGGACTCACAGTTTCTGTAGATTCTTGTTGACTTAAATCATTTAATAATACTGCATGTCCTTGGTTGCGTGTAACTTGTTCCTCAGTTTTTTTTTTGGTGTCGGCTTCATTTTTACTTTCTGGAGCTTTTTTTTTTTTTAAGGATATTGTCGGTGTTAGCCATTCCACTTTTTTTAAATAAACCCGTTTTCTCTAATCTGTCCAATTCTTTATCTATCTGTTCAATTGAAGCAAACAGCAAATTCCTTTTCTTTTTTTGAATACCGCCTGAGCGTTTTGTTTTGGCTGTAATTTTGCCTCAATCTTGGTACACGTTCCCAAACCTGGAGAAAAAAACAGTAGGAAAAGTTCTCTTTAGTTTCTTTACTAATTTTTTTAGGCTTCGTAGTTTAAATTTTCAACCTTGTAACAGAAAGAATTTATTGGTAAATCCCATAATTGAAATTCTGTTATCCAATCCGTACCAAAGTAAGTTCGTGGTATTTTTTTCATGACAAATAGTTTAACTTTTTCGCGTTTTTTTTATTTAATGTGACGTTTGTAACAAATTCTCCAATAAATTGTATTTTTTCTCCTGTCACGGACCTCGCGATTTTTTTGTCTTCATTAAAATTGGTTTCCAACTTCTTCCACGTATTCAAATTTATGATAGATAGGTCGGAACCAGTGTCGAGTTGCATTTTTTTTTTTTATTACTTATTTCGACGGTAACAAATTTTCTGGTTATTCCATCGTTTACCTCGTCGGACTTTAATTTTCTTATTTTATTTTTATTTTTTTTGACCTGCAGTGCGAGCTTTTATGACCCACTCTTTTTACAGTTGAAACATTTTTTTTTATTCCTAAAATTGCAATATCTATACCAGTGAAGTTCACCACAAGCAAAACATGGCTTCGGGAGTTTTTGTTTATTTTTTCTGGTATTTCACTTTTTGTTTGATAATCCGCAATTTTAGAATTCTTTTTGGTAGACTGACTTTTTTTTTTTTGTAGCGTATTTTTTCTTACATGCGAAACGCCAGACTGTTCTATCTTTTTTTGAATCTTTCTTTACGCTAACATATCTTGTGCAGTCTTCTGCCAAACTCTGTACCAAATCTTTGGTTCTTTTTCCCAATTTTGAAAGTACCAATTTCCTCAATTCTGCGTCTCTTTCTGAAACTAAACCCTGGAACAAATATCAAACACTTGAAATTGTCAGAGCTTAATTCTGCTAGTTTGAATTCTTCACAATGCTTGTTCACATTGGCTGCATACGTTATATAAGTCTTGTTCATCCTCTTTCATCAGATTCAAACATTTCCACCTTTTGTGAAACAAAGATGTCTTTTTACTAAATAATTCACTTAATATTTTACCGCCTCGTAAATATATTAACTCGTTAGTTTTTTTCGGTAAAATGTAGTTTACCAATTTATTATGCTCAGCAGTTCCTAATTTGCTTAAAAGAAGTCTAACCTTCTTTCCTTCAGACCACGTGTGGCAGTCCTCATTATACACGTCTGTATATTTTTTAAATACTCTTCAAAAGTTATTTCTTCATCTGGACTGTATGTGAATATTTCAATTGAATTCCATATTGTATTCTCTGGGAAAGAATCATTTTGTAGATTTTTTAACTCTTTCCTCTTCTCAGTTATTTCCAGAATTTTGTTTTGAAACTCCTTATGCATCAGTTCCATTTTTTGTTGAAACTGAATCTGTCTATTAAAAGTTGTATCTCTGGAATGTTTTCTGTAGGTCCAATATTGTCTTTGTTGTTCCATCTGGAACTTAAAAAATTCCTGGAATATATTTTTGCATTCCTCCATCTTTGCAAAAAAGTTTACACAATACTTAAATATTGTACAGGGGGGCGGGGATCCAAAACGAATTTGTAATTTGTGACCTATTTGAGCAAACTGTCTTATCGAGAAAAAATAAAATTCTTATGTCAGTTGAGAATACGACAGATTTTTTTTAAGTGTCACTAAGTTGATGTTTTGTCTTTCAAAAAACTTTTTTTTAAGCTCCGTTTTTTTTTTTTTTTTTTTTGTGGTGAGCCATATATATATATTTTTTTTTCTGAGTTGTTGTTTACCGCTAAATTTGACGAGCAAAAATTTTTTTTTCCTCCATATGAAACGAATTTCGTCACTAAATAATACGGAGCGAATTTTATTTTATTTTATTTTTTTCAAAATATGAAACCTCAATCCCAAATGTTACATGTATTATGGCGGGTGAACTTTTTTTTTTTTTTTTTTTCACCTCTGTATGAATTACTTAATCCACGTTGACAAGTGTTGTAGAGTGAACGCAATTTTTTTTTTTCCATATGAAACCAAAATACGTTCAAAAACGTTAGCAAAAGTATTGTATATATAATGCAACTAATTATTTTTTTTTAATGATAAATTTCAAATTCTTTAACTCGCCAAAATTGTTAGAGTGAAACGAAAAATTTTCTTATGTATGAATTACTATTCCTTAGTCGCCAATGTTGTTGTTAGATAGGCTATTAAAAAGTTTTTCTTTCTTTCTCCGGCACTGAGAAACGAATCACTTTTCGTCATCAATGTTGTAGTAAATACAAAACTCAACAAAAAAAGATTTTTTTTAATTTCAAAATTACAAGTCCGTTTTACAAAATGTTGTGGTTACAAGACCAAGCATCATGAAAACAATTTTTTTCCATGTGGGTTTGGTAAACATACCAGAATGTTGTGGAATATTTTCACGGTGGAGGCTTGTATTTCTAATAAGTCGTAAAAAAACGTTAATAACTTGGGAAATAATAGTCAATGACCTTCAGTAAATCTAGTTGTGATGGTTGGTACTTCAAATGTCCGAATCTCGACAATCTACGTTCTCAACACCGTTTCTGCCAGACTTGCCACTTTTTTTTTTATCTATGGGAGAGTCCATTACCAAAGAATAGGTACTATGGCACAACACTTATAAACGCAAATCTTTCTCAAACTCTTGAAACATTCATATCTGCTCAGTTTTGTATCCCCAATGTAAAAATGTAATTACTAAAGAAGCAATGGATTTTTTTATTTATTAATCTGACAGATTTAATTACTTAAATATTATTTTTTAGTTGATACCCATAATTTAAATGTTTTTTCAGAATAAGGAAATTTTGACATTTTATAACCTGGCTCTCTGACTTTGCCATTTTCTATAACAGTCAATTTAGCTGTCATTAGCTTCTGCTATCCTTAGAAATTTTGTGATTAGTGCTTGTAAATAGAATGAAAATTTGATGAGATTTCCATAGAATTATTTTAGCAAAACAACTTGCAGGAAGCAAGATTCTCTTTTCTATTTCTGGATGTTTCTTTCAATAACCTTTTTTATTCTAGTTTTGTTTAATCTCTGAAGTGTATTTTTTTATTTTATAGGTTGATTCTTTAAATCTAAAAAAGAAGAGAGGACGAAAGAGGAAAAGTGATGTTCTATCCAGTAATCTTCATGAGAAAATGGCTAAAAAAATGCTTTCAATACAAAATGCTGATAATCCAGGTATGTAAACAAATTAGCATGTGCATGCATGTCCCTTTTGCTAATTTCAAACTTGAAATTACTTTGTGCATTATTCATTGTTATAAAAGATAATTATAAGGAAAAAGAAAAAACGAGTTTTAAGGCTATGAAATAGGCATGGTTGGTTATGTGTGGCAGAAGTCGCTAACTTCTGTGAATTGATGTTATACTAGTAGATAACAATGCTGGAAAATAAAGAAATTAAAAGAATCTGGGTATATGCCATGTTCTAATAACCTCCTCAGTAGCCAATCATAGAAATGAGAACCATATAATTGTCCTTAAGGAAGGACAGACTTTACATTTTAAGATTTCAAAATTCCACTATTTGCTTGTCCTATAGATAGGTTTCTAATGGCTAAAAACCTTGGTCAAGTGAATTTAGTTATATAGTAATTGGTATTTCAATCTCTGGATCAAACTTGGGTTCAGTGAAAAAAGCAAAATTTGTATCACAAGGATGAACTAGAGAGCATATACCTCCAATGTCATTCTCACTAAAATCTAACCAATCATGTTACATATACCATATACTGTATAACAATAGCTTGTAATGATTATTATACTGGCATGAAAACATCATTCAAATGTTATTACATTTGAAAAGTTGAAAAATCATCACAAATTGCTCCTTAATCCAGTCATTATCATCCTAAAAAAAATATCATTGAAATTTATTCATAACTTGGAAATGTTGTGTAGACAAAAATATAGGCAAATACATAACATCTGTCCAGTTTCAAAAATACCAAAGATGAAGATCCCTGAAGCTGCAAACATTGCAGTTATAGCAACTTAATTGAGGATGCTAATCAGAATTTTTATTTATACTTTAAAAAAAAAAAAAATCCCTAAATAATAGTAAAAGTGTAATTTCACAGTGATACATTTGCATATATGAAAAAGTTATAAAAAATAAAATTTTATAAATGCTTTTTATTGCAATTCAAGAAATCTCAAGTTTTATATTTTAAAATAGCTTTTTCTATGAAAGTTTGTTTTTATGCTGTCTTGTGTGTATAAAAATATACCAAATTGTTTTTGTTGGCTTTTGATTAGATATAATTTCTTTAAAGCTGTTTACTAATTTGAAGGTATATTACTTCTGATTATTAGTAAAATTGTTTCATTCTCCCTCTCTCTTACAGATGAAAGAGTTACTATGGTGCATGAGAGAGAAGGCATTATTCTGTCTGGTGATGAAGCGCCTATGAAGAAGGATCTTCTCCAGTGGATGCAGAAGAATCCGGAATACAAGCCTTTTATTGGTCTTACTGATGAAGATTTTGAAGTAAGTTAAAAGCTCTTCAATGTCTATTAGTCATCTATATAATCCATGATATAACGAGTAGCATTTATTAAATATATCAAAACTTTCATTTGTTCTAATGATTATTTATAGTAAATTCTGTTGGCAAGGCAAAGTGGAATTGAAACAATCACGGCTGTTTAAAAGCCTTGTTTTTGTCATATAGGAAAATACAACATGGCGCGTAAACGAAATATTCGGCAAAAAATCTCATTTGTAAATAACATTTTAAACACTTCATAGAATGTAAAGTTCCTAAAGCAAACCTATGCCAAACTGTTTTCCTGAATCCTTGATGACTTGGCTGTCCGAAAATGATAATATCAAGATGAAATAATGGAAACTGACCGTGAAAAATACAATTATGCGCAACAGGTTTTCGATCAATCAGTAAACTTCTGGACCTTTTAGGGCGACGTTATAGGATCCAGACGGCTATTGTTTGCACATGGAATTATTCACTGGTAATTAATCTTCGATTTGGCTGTGGAAAATGTTGCTCGGCAGTTAGCATTAAGAAATTATGCCCAATTTTCTGAGAAAAATCACCGTTTTTTTTTGTAAAAAAATATTTATTTTCGCTTCAAAATAACATCATTCAAAATTCATTCCTTTCTCTTTCATTTGGCATGAACATCATTGAATAAAAAGAATGGCTAAATGGACCAATCGATGGGAAATACGAAAGATATGCGGCGAAAAAAAAACAATGTCATCTGCTAAGTGTTGTTGTTGTCATCACCCAGGTCACTGGGTGTTAAAAACAAATAAAACTCATCAAGCCATTGTTCAAACATAGGTTATATCAAGCCCCAAAATGTTTTTTTTTTTTTTTTTTTTTTTCACTTTTGCTTTTATCTGGGAGTGGTGGGTTTTATTACAACTTGTTCTAACGTTTATTGTCCGGCTGACCTTTGACCCAGATGTCAAAGTCAATTAGGTTTAATTTTCCTTATCACTGCTATTTTTTTTGGAAAAAAAAAAAAAAAAAAAAAAAAAAACTTTTGGTTTCTGGTGGTTAAGAATTGCAGATAAATCTTTTGCCTTTTACTAAAGATTTCCGTGGCCAGGTGTCAATTTTTTTTAAACCCTTGGCAGTGATAATTGAAAATTACCAATGGATTTTGTCGCATTTTGACCTCCTAGGAATGCTGATTTCCTTCAAAACTCTCTATCTGAAATAGTTTATAATTTAGGCTTTCTGATTTTCAAAAAAAAAAAAAAAAAAAAAAGTTAATTTCCCATTAATGGGGAAAATATTTGTTTAGAACAAGAAAAAAAATGCAAAATTTTCACTATTTTTTTTTTTTTTTTACCCACTGAAAAAAAATTTTGAGTCATTTACACCAGCCAATTTTACTTTTAAATGAAAGAATATATCCTTTGCTTTCAGAAAATACCTAGTTTCATGGGGTTCAGATCAAAAGTTTCCTTGATATTAGTTTAGATGATAAAACAGTCATTTTTCAATATTTTACCCCTATAAAAGTAGGAAAATCCATTTTTTTGAGAGAAAATAAGCTGTGACAAAATGACTTTTGCCATTTTTGTGATGATTTTCACATGGGAAAGAAAATTTTTACCATAGCAAGCCTGAATTGACTTTATTTATGTTCAGTGGGGCTATAGGAAACCTCAAACAGCTGTGCAATTAACACTTACAGTTTTAATGCTGACTACAATTGAAACTATATGTTGGTATTTTTATCACTGTCCACTGACTTTACTGTTACTCTCTGCTCCACTTTAATCATTTTCATGAATTAATAAACTAGGTAGCATGTGTGGGTGGTGTAATGGTAATGGCTCAGAATGAGAAATTGGCAAGTAGAGTTCAAATTCAGTCTAGTTTGTTACATTCATATTTGAAAATACTTTTTGGAAAAGATTTGAACTCCTCTCTTCTTCCCTCAGCTATGGGTTAAATACTTGGCTCTTCAGCCTTTGTTAGCAACAAGACTGGAAAGAACTCTGGAATTCCTAAACCTGGGTAGTCGTCTAATGGAAGGAAAACCCTGGCAGAAAACAACTCTTCCTCAAAGTGTGATGGTTGAGCATGTGGATAATCATTCCGCCACATTGAACCATTCAATTACAGAAATCTTACCAAGAGGGCTTACGTACCATGAGGCAACAAGCAAATAGCAACAATAAACTAGATAAACAAAAAAAATAACCTCCAAATTTTGTAATTTTTGTCTTAAAATTTAAGTTTAAACATTTAATCTGAGCTGGAAATTTAAAATGAAAAATTAGATTGTCAGTGGTTAGGAATTAAGATAAACATTGCTAACAGATATACTAGGACTATTTGTATAATTTTAGTCCAGTAATGAATAACTGAGAAATACAAATTTGTACTTCATGAGAATTTAGAAAGTTCTCCAAATTTGGTTTGGAATGCCAAATTGACTGCTACTTATAAGTAATTAACCTTTGTGTGCATACTTTCATTAGTGGAATATATTTTAAGACATAATCAAGCACTAAAATTGTTGTCGTGTATATTGCTAAGTAAGCATTCGACCTCTGTTCTAGTTGGTGTCCATTTATCATATGAGCTGCCTGCTCATATGCAAATTATACTAATTTGCATCTCACTACATCTCCCTATAACGGAGGGGCCTTATGCCGCGAGTACTTCTTGTACTTCTTCTTGTGCCCTCCTGAACATCTTCCTTTATCTCTCTCCTTTCCATTGGAGATCTAGATCTATCACGTCTTTCCCTATAATCGAACTGTTCCTCTTGCATACTCTGGTCTTTCTCTTCTAACTTGTCCCATTCTACTTCTTCCTCTTCTAACTCATCCCTCTCTACTTCTTCCTCCGCAGTTTCATTCTGCATTAACTCTTCTGAGAAGGCATTTCCTCATCCGATTCTTCTCCTTGGGATCTTATTTGGTCAGCATGAGCTAGAACACTGTTCCCATTTTCTTTATTTAATATTGCAGTATTATGTCCTTTCTGCATAATAAATTCGGCTGACTCTGGTTGCATATTCCTATTTCTTTTGTACCACATCTTTTGATTTGTGGCATATGACATAGTCAAAGGGGACCTTAATTGTCTGCCCATTAAGGCAGATGGACTTTCCGGCCTGCCTGCATGTGGAATTGTTCTGTAACTTAATAGTAGTCTTGGTAGAAAAGCATCGATTTCCTCCTTCTGTTGCAAGCATGCTTTTATGCCCTTCTTTACCGTGTGGACCATCCTTTCTGCTGTCCCATTACTTTGAGGGTGGTAGGGAGGGGTCTTGTAAGGTCTGCATCCTATTTTTCTTAGCCATTCATGTAAATCAGCATCCACAAATTCTGGTGCGTTATCAATGTTCTCGGTGTCCCATTCCTTGAAAATATTACTCTTAATATTTGTTTTACGGTGGTCCTTTTTTTATCAGGTATTCTCACCACTTCAGGCCAACCTGAATATGCGTCTACTAATATTAATAATAGTCCTATCCCATTGACATAGGCATGGTCCATGTGTACTCTGCTCCATGGTTCTACTTCTCGGGGCCATACATGTATTTTCTTTTGCTTAAAATTCCTGAATTCTGTGCATTTTTTGCATCTTCTTACGTAGTCTTCTACGTCTCTTGAGTACCCCGGCCACCACGCTTCCAATTTTAATCTTCTTTGCGCAGCTGCCACTCCACAATGTATGTCATTGTGTACACTTTTTATAACCTGTCTCCTCTGTGTTTCTGGGGGAACTACCAAGTCTCCATTACATATTATCCCGTTTGCTATAGTCATTCTATGTCTAATTTCTTTGAATGGTCTTTCAGCCATTGAACAATTTCCCCAGCGATTCTGTTTTATCCTCGACATTATTCTATTTAACACTGGGTCATTTGTAGTTTCAGTAGCCATTTTATCTACTGATATTACATCGGTTTCTACAAGGTGCAAGATTGTGTCTTCAAATTCCTCGTCGTTTTTGTCTTTCTCCTCTCTATAAAACCTCAATCTAGATAAGGCATCAACGTGCGGTATCGTATTCCCTTTAACATATTCAATGTCAAAGTCGAACGCCATCAGTCTAATCGCCCAACGTAATATTCTGGATGTTGTAACTTTCGGTAGCTCTTTTTTTGGGTTGAAAATAAATTCCAGTGGTCTGTGATCACTTTTCAAAAAGAATTTTTTTCCCATCAAAAACTGTCTTGCTCTATCCGTTGTCCACACTATGGCTAGTGCCTCCCTTTCTATATTCGAATAATTGTGTTCAGTTGTTGTTAATCTCCTCGATAAGTACATTATGGGATGCCCATCTTGTGACAAAATACCAGATATGGACTGCTCACTAGCGTCAGTAGTTAGAGTTATGTCCTTCTTAGGGTCAAAAATTTGTACTATTGGCTTTTTTGCCAGAATCTGTTTTAAGTTTTCAAAGGCTTTCTGTTGGTGTTCTAACCAATTGAATTCCACATTTTTTTTTCTTAGCAAATGGTTCTGTCAACTCATTATATTTTGGTACATATTTTCTATAAAAATTTACCAAACCTAAGAAGGACTCCAACTCTTTTTTTTATTTTTCGGTGTAGCAACTTTTAGAATTTTCTCTATTAGTACTTTATCTGGAGAGATCCCTTCTTTGATATTGAGTAACCCAAAAATGATATTTCATTACTATTGGTTACACACTTTTTTGTATTTATTGTCATACCAGCGTCTCTTAGCCGGTTCAGTATATTTTCAGTTTTTTTCTTTAAATCATCTTCATTTAAATCTCCAATACATATATCGTCTTGATAACAGATGGTATTTTCAACATTTCCTATTACTTTTTCAATAGCTTTTTGAAAAATTGCACTTGCCGTTTTTATGCCATACGGCATTCTTTTCCACCTTAACAGGCCTATAGGTGTGTTTATGGTTGTCACTTCTTTAAAATTTTCATTTATTGGTATTTGGTGGTAAGCTGATTTTAGGTCTATCTTCGAAAATACTTTCATTCCAGCAAGTTTATGTAAAGCTACTTCTACATTCGGAATAGGGTACGAGTCAGCACAAACTTTATGGTTCACCCCTATTTTATAATCTCCACAAATTCTCGGGTCACCATCTTTTTTTTTTTTCAATACCACAATGGGTGATGCCCATTTACTTCCTCCTGGAGGGGCAGGTTCTAATAAGTCTTCCTTTATTAGCTTTCGCAATTTAGCTATTACCAACGGTAATAAATGCACTGGTATTTTTCTCGCTTCGTAGTAGGAGGGGAAAACATTTTCTTTTAATTTCAGGCTAGCTTCATAATTTTTTAATTTTCCTGTTTTTTCTATTTCTATCTCATTAATCAACTTCGTTGAATTTATTTTTAACACGTCATTCCCCAGTAGTCCATGCGTTTTTCGGCAATTTGTAACTATAATGGGTACTATTTCATATTTTCTTTTTAGTTCTATTGAACCTTCAAAGTAACCCATAATTGCTATAATCGAGCCATCAAACTGACATAATTGTACGTTGGTTTTTTTAAAAAAACGGTTTTCCATTTTTTCCCAAAATTTCTGGGTAATATCGTGACCTCACTACCTGTGTCGATTTGCATTTTGACAATACAGTCGTTGATTTTCACTTTTATTTTTGTATCTCCGTTCTTAGATCCAGTATTTTGTATATTATCCTTTTTTACATTAAAAATCTGTCTATTTTCATCCTCTACTCTTTCCACATTTTTCGTTTTACATACTTCTTTGAAGTGATTTTTTTTTTTAAACACTTTGAACATGTCTTTCCAAAGGCTGGGCATTTTTTTTTTTTCATTTCATGAATTTTTCCACAGTACGCACAATTTTTTTTTTTTTTGTTTGTACCGTATATGTTTCAGCCATTATTTCTTCGTAGGATTTATTTTTATTTTGGCTATAGGTATGTATTAATTCCTGCTGTTGTATAAATTCTATACACATATTCAAAGGCATGTTTGTAAGTTGTAACTGTTCCATTAACTTAATCTATGTACTGAATTATGCATACCTTCAATTAATCTTAGTTGGATTAATTCTTCTTCCGTTGTCTGCTCTCCTGTTCCTAGTTTTTCGAATTCACAGTATATACTCGCACTTCTTAACCGGTGTAAATATTTTACTATCGGTTCATCCACTTCCTGCTTCATTGCCATAAACTTGGTCCTTTCTGCAATCACCAGTCTTTTCTTTGGCCTCATGTTTCCCTTAATAACCTGACTTATTTCTTCGAAAGTCATTTCTTCTAGTTCTCGAGGTTAAACCATTGTAGCAACCTTCATAATTGCTTCACAACCAGCTGTAGCCATGAACAAGTCGGTGATTTCATTTTCCCCTCCTCTGTTTTTGTTGTCTTTCAACTTTTAACATCTTGCATTAGCAGCAAAGCAACGAATCCACGTATCTACGTACTCTGGGTCTTCAAGGACCAAAGAGTATCCTATCGGCGACGCCATTGTTGTGTTGTGTATATTGCTAAGTAAGCATTCGACCTCTGTTCTAGTTGGTGTCCATTTATCATATGAGCTACCTGCTCATATGCAAATTATACTAATTTGCATATGAGCTACCTGCTCATATGCAAATTATACTAATTTGCATCTCACTACAAAAATTAAGTTAAAAAAATTATCAAGTTCTTTCTAATAGACTTGTGCTATAATGTATCAGTTTAATACTTGAATACAACACCACCAAACATTTGTCAAAGTGAATGTATTTAATATTCAGCTAAGAAATTTTACAGCAGAAGCTTGTTTTACTTTAATATTTCTATGCATTTTTAGTGATTTAGTAGTAGAATAATTTCATTAATAGATTTAACTTGATGCTTTGGGATGAATTGTTAATAGTGATTTTGAGAAATTTTTTTTTCTAGTTTATTCTTGTATGTTTTTTATGTGGACTGTTGTTTGCATCTCCTCCTTTTCTGCTGTTTGTTGACACTTGACAGTATACAAAAAAGTCCCATCTGGGGAATGAATCCACCAAAGTTTTGTAGAATGAGGATAATATAAAGTGATATTCGGATTTAAATAGATTTCATGCTTTTAAAGCCATGGTATTTCACTGATATTCAAATCAACTATGAATTCCAAAATTTCAATCTTAAATATATAATTCTATTCAACATTAGCAAACTAAAGACTTAATTTTTCTTTTATTAAAGTTCATGAGTTGTGATAAAATTAACTTGTCTAGATTAAGGTCTTTGTCACTCTTTTGTAAGAGGATTTAAGATTGATGTGCTAAATCTTAGATAAAAAAAATATTGTAAAATAATAGAATTTTAAATTGGAACTTGTTTTACTTTCAGCCTGAAATTGAAAAACGTCGCCGAAGACGTCCCAGACTTGATCCAACTAAACTAGATTATGATGCTTTGACTGGAGATGAAAATGTATCTGTTATGAATCGTGAAAATGGGAAAAAGGTCTGGCAATGTGTATTTGTCCAGTAAAAGTTCATTTGTCTTCATTACACATTTACTACTTTACTGTCACATGTCATCTATGGCTATTTTTTTTTCTTTGTTGTTAATAAGATTTGTATGTCATCAAATTCTCATCAAAATTATTTTCAAATTTGTAATAATACCTTTTTGGTTATTGAGAATTGTTTTTCCCCACCTTCAAAAATACAATGAATTGATGTGTTTATTTGATCTCTCTCTCACACACAATAAATTTAAGAAAGAATCAATGTAAGTTAATTTCTTTAATGAAGGTTTCATTTTTACAAAGATTTTTCTCTAAGCTCAATGAATTCTGAATGAAATTTACATTGCCAGTTTAAATTTATTTTTTTTACTGACTTTTACCCTAATTGTGTTCATGGAGAAATTATTTTTATGAGGTTTAAAGATAACCTCAGGTTTTTCAAGTAAAAGTGCTCAGAAGAATGAATTAAAGCAAGTGAATCATTTCTAGAATATGTAAATATATTTCTTTAAATTATGAAATTGCATTGCTAAACCCGGATTTTTGATTTAACTTATTGTCTTTCTAGAAATGGAACTTAATACTGAAAATTTTCTAACAAAATATTCTTAGCATCTTTTACTTGTAGAAAGTGAAGTATTTTTCCTATATTATGTTACAATTTAAATATCAGTTCATTTTGTAAAAACAAAAAATATATATATATATTCTTTTAATAAATTGTTTGAATTGTGGAATATTTTTATTTTTTAATTGAATATTCATTTCTCATCACCTTGCATAAGGCTAAATTTTAAATAGCTTTTGATAGTTGTAAAACATTACTGATATGAATTCCGAGTGTATGGTGAAAGTATACAAATATATAAAAAAGCTTATATAATTGATTCAACTTTAAAGATTGTCTTTAATACAAAATAGTAGTTTAAATAGTCGATATAAATAGTGAAAGTTCAAATGTTAACCAAATAATTTTACTTAATGCTTTCTGCTGTTAGCTTCTTCTGAAATTTGAAAGCCATTGCTGTTTTATAAAGATCTGATTTAATTCTATTAAATTTCATAGAAAAGATGAATACTTTTTTTTAAATTAGTTTTGTAATGTACAAATTTTATGCTATGTAAATTGTGTATTGTCCCCCACATGTTTATCTACGGGTCAGGTTATTTCAGTTATGGTTATTGTATAGTAATTGGCTTGATTATTACAGCAGTTTCATTCTGTCAAGATTATATAGGATTAATACAAATATAAAATTTGTCACTTAGCTGAGATATATATAAATAATATATATATATATATATATATATATATATATATATATATATATATATATATATATATATAACCAAGTAGAAGTCCTCTTCCATTTTAAATAAAGCTAACTGTTTCTGTTAATATAATAGATGCTTTTTGTCATTCCTGCAAGCATGTACTCTGGAGTATTGAGCTGTCCTTCATATCTACTGCAGAATTCTTTAATGAAATTCTCAACTTTTTAAAATGAGCTTGTATCTATTCAGAGTAATATGCATGCAACATTTCAATCGTTTTCTCTTACCTTTATGCATTTTGGCTGCTTTTATGAATTTTTTTTTTCCATTATCATTTAATATATTGGATGATATTGCTCTTCATATATATATATATATATAAAAACCCATCATGACATGAAAGAACATGTTTGATCATTTTCTGCTAAAAAAACTAGTTTCATGTTTATACCATAACTATTCATTTTTAATTCCATCAAAACCCTTGAGGAAATAGGGCAACAATGTTACCTTATATGTAATTAAAATTCTTGTTAAATAACCAAATGAATAAAAACTGAATTTTTTAAAGAATTATTACTAATAATTTTACTATTTAAAGTTAAACTGTTATTGAATCATAAATTTTATTGTATTATCAACTGTTGCACAATTGCTGATAATGCTTTGTTTCAGAGTTGTTTGAATATTCTTTAAAGAATTTCTGTCTGAATTTTTGAGATAAGAATTATCATTATTTTATACTGATTTATTCATTGATATCTTTGTCTTGGTGGTTTTAGTCACAAGTTCTTAGCCATTGTACCATTGGTCTTTTTTAGTTACCTGTCATACTTAGTGTCAAAGACTAATTAACTAAAAAGAATTAACTTATGAGATATACTCTAGTAGTGTTAGTGTGAAATGAGAACAATTTACACAAATTAGTAAAATGAATTGTCTTGAAAGTTATTTAATACAACAGGTATACCTGGAAAAGACTAAGCGGGAACAATGGTCCAAACTTTGTGACAATAAAAACTAAGATGAGGACGCTAGTTCAGATAAATCCATGTAGAATAAAACTTTAAAGAACTCATTAATAGCATTGTGAATGTTTGTTTTATTTTTTTATTTCACTGTTTTATTTGTTTATTTATGCATTTTGTTAAATAAACTGCTTAATTCTCTGCACTAAATGCTTGCTTTCTTGTCTTGCTGACTTTTATTGCTTTCTTGCATGTGCCAGAAAAATCTTAAATGTTTCTGTAACTATTTAAAAGGGGATTTTTCTATTATCTCTAAATTATTTTCTTTCACTGAAATAAGAAAAAATAAAATTAAAAACAAATTGATAACTAAACTTAAAGAGTGTTTTTAATTTAAAATAAAAAATTTATCTAAAATTGTTAAAAATTCAAATTTTTATGTTTGAGTTTTTTTTTGTTAATGAGACAAATATTGCACAGTGTTTAATTTCACTGATAGGTAATTTGCTTTGGATTATGTAAAAGTTAATTTTTATAAATAACTTGAAATCGGTTTATCACAATATAATTTATAGTAATTTTAATAATTATTGTTTGGACACTTTAAATGTTTTAACTAAGAATTAATAAACTAAAAAGCTAAAGAAGTTCAGTTTAAAGCCATCTAACTCAGATTGAGTTTAGTTTTAAAAAAAAAAAAAACCTGATTCCACATGTGAACTATTTATACTACTAAGTCTAAGTTTCTGTTTTGTGATAACATTAATGCAAACTGTTTGCAAAAAGAAACTTTTCATATAAGTGTGTGCAATGGTAGGGAACAATTTACCCAGCTTTGTGATTAATCCATTAACAGTGAATGATGGCTAAACTACCGACTGATGAAAATTTCTTTCTGCCACAGTTAATAGATTATGTTCCTTCTGTTTCAATACTTACCTTGCCGTGCGTCTCGAAAAGGACCTCCAATCGATTGTGAACTGGGGCATGAATTGGCTGGTCAACTTCAATGCTTCGAAGACAAAACTGCTCTCTATTAATCACCACAGAGAGCCTTCCCTTCCCTCCATTAGAATGTCTGACGCTCAACTTCTCGAGAGCAACTCTCTGCGGCTTCTCGGTTTCACGTTGACTGCTGACCTGAGATGGAATAAATACATTGAGTCAATTGCCTCGTACACTGCGAGGAAAGTTGGCTCCCTGAGCCACGCTAGGAAGTTTTTCTCCCCTGAGTCGATCCTCCAGATATACAAATCCACAATTCGCCCTTGCATGGAGTATTGTTGCCATATATGGTCTGGCGCCCCTTCTGTTTGCCTCGGGGTTCTTGATAGGCTCCAGAAGCGGATATGCAATATGGTTGGCCCTGCCCTGGAGTCTTGTCTACAGTCACTTTCTCACAGATGTGCCGTCGCCTCCCTCTGTCTGTTCTACAAATACTTTCATGGAAATTGCTCTGAGGAGCTGCATTCGCTGGTTCCCAGACGTCATGAGTTCCAGTGCCCTACGAGGCTGGCATCCCGCTCTCACCCCTTCACTGTCGAAACTCCTAAATGTAGTCGTCTCTTCTACTCTAATAGTTTCATGTCTCGCACCTCTCGCCTGTGGAACTCCCTTCCCTTCTCCTGTTTCCCTGTGAGCTATAATCTCCAGCTATTCAAGTGTAATGTCAATTGACATCTCCAGTTGCCTTAATCTATCCACTACCCTCATCCTTTCTTCTATCACTCCTATCTGATCTTTTGACATGCCGTTAAATCCAACATCCATCCATCCTATCTGATCTTGCTATTTTCTGTAACCCCTTGCGTCCTAGTGGCTTCCTGCCTTGCTTGGGGTGAAATGCTTAAAAAAAAAAAAAAAAAAAAAGCCAAAGCAGTAAAATTTGGTGTGCATAGAGTTGAATTTAGTTACATCTGTGTAATGCATATTGTTATTTAATATGCATTAAAATTTTTTTAATTTTTTGCACCAACTTGAAAGGAACTCTCTTGCTTAATTTAAGATTAACTTGTTTATGGTTTGAATTTTTTGACCTCTTAATGATTAATCCTTGTTAAGCATTGTGTTGATATGTTTATGGTGATGCTTTCTCAAGTTTTATTTATATGAAATAAAACTAAGCTTCTGGTAATAAATCTGTTGTGAAAGCATTGAATGAAATGCTCTTCATAATACCAGTTAAGCAAGATATGCACTTAGGCATTTTAGAAAATTGGCTTTAATAACTGCTTAAATCAATTTTTGAAATGTGCAGTTTTTCTTGAGCAATTAGGGAAAATAAAAATATCAAGTTTCAACCAAAACTATATTTGTGATAAATCGGATTTCATTTTACTTATATGTTTGTCTTTTGGGGGTTTCTCTTTCCCCTCTCCTCTTGGTCCATCTGTCCCATTCTCCCACTGGCTCCCCAATTTCTGTCCTGTTTTCCCCCCTCTGCCTCCCCAATTCCTGCCCCATTTTCTAATTCACTCACCAATTCCCCCCCCAACTCCCATCTATCCTGTTTTCCTCCTTCTGTTCTCTCTCTTCCCACTCAATTTCATCATTTGTGTTAGGTTATTGTTTTTATATAACAATTCCAATATCCTCAAAACAATGTCCAGTATATTCTGTAATTTGGAGATGAGTCATTTGGGCTGTTGATCTTATTCTTTTTTTTTTTCTTTTTTTCTTTTTTGCTTTTGTCATATTTTAGTTGATCCATTCTATGTCCTCTTCCAGATGTATAATTCCTATGGAAAGAA